ATTCAATCTCGGATGATTTAACACCGGTTCATCCATACACAGAAGTTAACCTAGTACCAACCCAATTATGAAGGTATCACATCCTTCCACATAAGAATGTAATGTCACGTTGCACCCCAATTATTCATCTATCTGTTAGGTCCATCAACAGTCAGGTCAACAACTATGAGTTGTTGCTTTGATACCAATTATAATATCGCGGCTAGAGCTGGCAATGGATTTATTTGTGTCGGGTTGACTACTTTAAACGGGTTAAATAACTCAACCCTAATCCGACTCGCTTATTATCATATCAGATTTGTGTTGACCCATTTATTATCGTGTTGGGTTCGTGTTGACCCGTATACATAATTAAATCGAAAATTTTTATTCAAATTCAATTATTTTTTGTCATGTTGTGGTGTTATGTTAGTTTTTGTTATTTCTAGTGTAATGTGCATAATGAATTAAATTGAATTATTTAAAATTGAACGTAGATTAAATTAATATATGGGTTAATTATATAATCATAATTATTTTACATATATAATAAATATATTAATTAATATTAATATATTATAATCAGGTTGTTGTGTCGGATTCAAGTTGAGAAACTCAACCCTAACCCGACCTGTTTATTATCGTATTGGGTTCGTGTCAACTCGTATACATAATTAGGTTGAAATATTTGATCCAAATCTATTATTTCGTGTCGGGTCAGTTTTTGCCAACTCTAACCGCGGCCCGCAACCCACCAGATAGGGTTCCTTCAGGGACTCCCGAAAATAAATATATACATTGTTGACATAAATAGTATTATTCAATCTAAGATAACCTAACAGCAGGAGATCATATAGGAGAGTTGGCCTAGCACCGGCCCAATTGCAGAGTATCACAATAGCATAATTAGTAAATAATTAAAAATATATTAATAAAAATAATTATATTATATTAAAAATAATTGTATATTAAGATTAAAATAATTAATTAATTTAATTAAAAATTTAAAAAATTATAGATTATATAATTAAAATATAATTAAAGTCTATAATTTTTTTTAAAAAAAAATAATGTTAAATAAATAAAAAATAGATAAATTATATGAAGCAAATAAAAAAATTATGTAAAAAAATAATAAATAAATATGGAAGCCAAGACTTAAAGCATTAGTACTACACCAACTTTGATTTGATTTATCTGCTGCCATCAAACTTACGGCATATTACAATTTTATAGCCCATGATTTTGGTTGTGTTTATTTTGAGCATTTATTATTCAAAGTTTATATTTTTACAAATAAATTATAATAAAAATATATTTATTTTTTATTGATATTAAAATACTTTTACACAAATTCAAATCACCATTACAACGCAACACCAAAACAGACACGATGAATCTACGTGCTCTCAGAATCACCGTACCCAACCTCAAATCTTGATTTTATTATTATTAATATTATTGTTGTGGCTAAAAATAAAAATTGACGGTCTGATTGTTGTGTTTGTCGGTATCGATATTGTTAGCATGTTTTTTTATATATCGTCATTTGGAGCTTATATATATATATGAACATTAGAATTTTTTTTTTTTTTTTTCTGTCAATATATAATTTTTATTTTTTCGTAAATATTCAAATATGATATCAGAGTCGAGCTAGGGTTTATTTTGCCCCCACTGTGCAGCCGCCTGGTTTCGTCGTCGACCACCGTCTTCCGGCTGCCATCTCCTGTTTCGATCCCCGACGTCCTGCTATGGTTGGTTTTGGTCATATGACTTGAATTTATTTCGCGACTATTACTGGGTTGGCTTGCCCAGTTTGATTTTCTGGGTGATTCTTTTGCACGCTATACTATTTTTTATCTTCATAGTATGGCTCTTAATATGGATCGTATAGACACTTCCGAGATTATTGTTCTTCTTTTTGGAGATAATTATGGTTTGTGGGATTAATCCATGAAGAGTTTCTTGATTAGTAAAATATTATGATGCTATGTTACTGGCGACTTTTCTGCACCGGTTACTCATGTTGTCACTTCGACGGCACCCATTGGAAATAAAAAGCTCACGGACTATTGGAATGCCTTGGATGAGTAGGATAGTAAGAATTACATTATTCTTACTTGGATTCGGTATACCTCTTCCAAATCCATTCAGATTCAACTTCACCGTATGAACACTGCCAAGAAAGCTTGGGATTATTTTAAGCATCGATATCAGGCCACTTAAGGCATGCATTATTATTAGCTTTTTGAGTCATTGACTGCACTGACACCTGACTCGCGTTAGGATATGAATGAGTTTTTTTCTACTATACAGTCTATGTAGGATCGCATTGATGAGGTAGACATACAGATTAAGCACTTTCGGATGATTCAACTCTTGATGAAACTTGATCCAGAATATAAGTCTATGCATACTTCCTTATTTCATCGTCATTCTTTGCATTTCTTGGAGACAACGATAAAGGAGATTTTGGTTGAGGAAATCCGTCTCAAGATGCTCAAGGTTCCTACCCTTAATTTGGCCTTGACAATTTTCTCTTCTAATCCTCATAGTTGAGATAATCACAAGGATACCCGACCACCCCAGTCTGATAAATGTCACAGTTGCCCGAATGATGCTCATCTTTATATTCACTGCTCTAAGGGTTGAGTGTCACTACTGCAGAAGGGCCACATCCGTTCCCATTGTTCCAAGAATCCCAAGGCTGGTCAATCCACTTTCGGTTCTTCCTCTGTAATTGTTGTTGCCACTAGCGTATCATAGTCGCCTCAGCTGCCTCCCATTCTTGAGGACCTCTGTCACATGCTCATGCAGGTTTTTATCAATCCATCATTCCTTAGCATCGACATCAGGTAACAATACATGGTATATTGATTATATCTGTTGTAACCATATGACACCTAACCCTCACATTTTACATTCCTACCAACCCGTCACCTAGTCTCTTCATATACTTACTGCTGATGGCACCTCATGCAAATTACCTATACTGGCCATATATTGTCCCCCCACCTTGATGATGTTTATTTCATTCTCAAATTAGCCCTAAACCTTGCGTCTGTTGGTTAGTTGGTTGAGCATGATCTTGTAATTTTCTCTTCTTCTGGTGTGCAGGTTCAGGACACATAGACGGGTCAGATACTTGGGACGGGTCGCAAGACAGGTCGCCTATTTGAGCTTGACCACCTTCGCCCTCGCCAGACATCATCTCTTTCGGTTGTTGTCTCTCATTTCTCTTCCTATCACTGACACCTCAGACTTGGTCATGTCTCCCTTCCTAAACTCAAGTCTCTTGCAAATACAGATGTTTTAGGTTCAGATCGTTTTGAGTCTTTTGATTGTTTGCATTGTAAACTTGGAAAACAACCAACTTTACCTTTTTTTGAACAACTTGTCTATTGTTGTAAACCTTTTTCGTTAGTACATTCTGACATTTTGGGGCCCTTTCATATCGCTACTCTTACTGGGCTTCGTTACTTTGTATTTTTTATTGATGATTACTCTCGATTTACTTGAATTTACTTTATACATAAACAGTCTGAACTTGTCTCAGTTTACTCTGCATTCGCTAAAATGGTGCAAACTCAGTTCTGTGTCCTTGACAATGCCCTCGAATATAATGAGTTTGTCTTTCTTAACTTTCTGTCCACCCAGAGTACTCTTGTCCAATGTTCTTGTCCCTACGCATCTCAGCAAAATGGTAAGGCAGAGCGTAAGCATCGTCATATTTTAGACACTGTTCGAGCCATGCTATTATCTGCCAGTTGTCCAAATCAGTTTTAGGGTGAGGCTGCTCTTATTGCTATTTATAATATTAACCGATTATCCTCATCTATCCTTCAAGATACCACACCTTTTAAGAGGCTCTTCCGCCACGTACCTGATTACTCTTATCTTCATCCTTTTAGTTGTGTCAGCTTTGTTCATCTTCCTTCTCATGAATGAAACAAATTAGAACCACATACCCGTCTGTGTTGTTTTCTTGGGTATGTGATAGAAAATAAAGGTTATCGATGTTGAGATTCTGTGTCAAATCATCTACGTATCTCGGGATGTTTCCTTTTGGGAGCATAAATTATTTTCCTCTTAGTCTAAATTTTCTATTCCCTTTGATTCAGAGTCATCGTTCTTTGTTCTGGATTTCTCTCCCCCTCCTGCAGGTCCCAAACCCCCGTCTGTTCCTGCTAGTCTTTCTGATGCTGATCCTTCCCACCAGCTGACACACTTGCGCCTCCTGAGCCTGTACCCGATCATTCGAAAGTTCCAGTTCTTGCCGCCACTGATCGGCGACCCACCCGTGTAAGTTGTCCTTCATCTCATATACTTGATTATCATTACTTTTTTGCTATTTTATCTCACCATGAACCAAGGACTTTTCGTGAGGTGAATTGTGATCTCTTATGGCACGACGCTATGTCTGAGGAATTGCAGGCTCTTGAGAAGACCGGAACGTGGGATATCATCAATCTCCCTCCTGGCAAGAAACCTATTAACTGCAAGTGGGTGTACAAGATAAAAAATTACTCTGATGGTTCTATTGAGCGCTACAAGGCTCGCCTTGTAGTCAGGGGTTGCTCGCTGGAGTATGATATTGATTATGAGGAGACATTTGCTTCAGTTGCTTGCTTGACATATATCCGTTGTCTCCTTATTGTTGTCGTTGTTCGATGTTGGCAATTATTACGGTTGGATGTGAAGAATGTGTTTCTTCATGGAGATTTGTCTGAGGAAATTGACATGACTCCTCCATTTGGTTCAGATTTTTCAGGGAAGGATGTAAGCTGCGCCGTGCCCTATATAGACCGAAGCAGGCGCTCCGAGCTGGGTTTGCCAAGTTTAGTGTTGCGCTTATTCATTATGGCTTTTCTGCATCTTCTTATGACTCTACTCTCGTTATTTGTCATTCTTCTGCGTGGATCATCATTCTCTTATTGCATGTGGATGACATTGTTATTACTGGCGACGACACCTCTGGTATATCCGATCTTCAAACCTACCTTCATTGACACTTCGACATGAAGTATCTTGGTCAGCTCCGCTACTTTCTCGAACTTGAGATTTTTGACGCTCCAGATGGCATATATCTATCTCAGACGAAATATGCCTCTGATCTCATATCTCGTTCCGGTATGACTGATAGCCAGAGTGCATCCACCCCTCTCAAGGGGAACTGCCGACTTACTCATTTCGACGACACTCCACTAGAGGATCCCTCCCGTTATCAACAGTTGGTGGAATCCCTGATCTACTTGACGGTCACTCACCCTGACATAGCTCATGTGGTCCATATTGTTAGTCAATTCATGGCTAATCAACGGACAATGCACTATGTTGTTGTGTTACGCATACTTCGTTATGTCAAGGGAACAATCTTACATGGTCTTCATTTTTCTGCTGACTCTCCATTGGTTCTTGTTGGTTTCTTTGATGCTGATTGGGCAGGTGATCCGACTGATCATCGCTCCATCACATGTTTTTTTTTTCTTAGGGAGTTCCCTTGTTTCTTGGCGTAACAAGAAGCAGACTCTCGTTTCTCGCTCCAGTGCAGAGTTTGAGTATCGTACTCTTGCGGATTCGACTTCAGAGCTTCTTTGGCTTCGTCGGCTTTTTTTTTATCTCAGGGTTCCTCAGTCTCTTCTACTTCCCTCCATTGTGACAGCACGAGTGCAATCCGATTCTCCCAAACTGATGTATTTCATGAGCGCACTAAGCATATTGAGATTGATCGTCATTTTGTTCTTCAGCATGTTTGTGTAGATATTGTTCATCTATCTCATGTCTCTTCCGAGAATCATACTGCGGATATTTTCACTAAGTCCCTCTTCCCAAGCCGGTTCTCCACATTGTTGAGCAATCTCAAGTTGGTTTCTACTTTACCATCTTGAGTTTGATGGGGAATGTTAACATATTTTAATATATTGTCATTTGTGATCCACATATATGCCTATATATATGAACATTAAAATTCTCTTTTTTGGTCAATATACAACTTTTATTTCTCTACAAACATTCAAGCAGATATCAAATCGGACTCTGGCTACTCAAGAAAGCGTTTAAACTTAATTTCGCAATAGGTGGCACAATGTTATTAGTTCGGCACCGGAGATATTGCTATTATTAAGTTAGAAATTAGACTATAGTAATTAAAATCTGCGCACAAACGATTGAAACTAACCTGGCCAATGAATTATGAAGTAAAACCAACAATAATGTAGCAACAAGAACATGAGAACTAGAAAAAAAAAAAAAAAAAAAAAAAAAAAGGAATTTGATCTCTATATTTTATCCTATAATTCACATTCTACCCCTTGATCCAATTTCTCATGTTCCTCCACTTACCAATCACAGTTGTGACTTAATATGAACTTGTTGAGCTTAGAAATGATCTAGGCTCATCTTTCTTGATGGGTGGCCGGTGTTCTTCTTCAACTTTAGCGCGTGAATTTTGATAAGTAATGAGCGACATGTCATATGATAAATTTATTTTAAAATCATTTTATTATTGAAAATATTTGTTGACAACAATGCCATATAATTATTTTAAAATATTGTAAATACATATGAGTTTGTTATTTTTGTTTGGTTTATTTGTGTTTGATTTTAATTTTTTTACTATATAATTTTTGTAATTTTATGTAAAGATATATGATACTTCATCCATTAACGAAATTTATACATATATATATATATATATTATTTTGGATTATCATAAAAACAATATTTTTTTAAGTAAAAAATACATTATTATTATTATTATTATTATTATTATTATTATTATTATCTCCTTGCTATAAAATACAAAGAAATAATAATTATTGCATATTTTTATTATAATTTGTATCTAAGTATTTAACTACAGATTTACACAACGGAGGGGAGTATTATACTCCCTTGGTCCAAGTAAGAAATATATATTTATTTTTGGCGCAGAATTGAAAAAATAATAATATTTTAATTATAGTGGGTAGGTAAAAATAGTGTACTGACATTTCACTACAAGAAAAAATTATTTTTGTAACAAAATATTTGTGTCTCTAAATCTACTTTTTCCGTTACTAATGACATTAGAGACGGAATTAGGAATGGAATAGCGTTAGCTACGTGAACTTTAGGGACGAAATTCCGTTACAAATATATTATTTTTTTGTAGTGTTTGTGCATTTACTTTTTGGTATAAAAGTAATGATGTTACGTAAAATAAGGATATTTGTGAATAAAAAGTGGGTATTTAATGAAATGATTACTTTGTAATTGGACGTCTCAAAATAAAAATATGTATAAGTAACAAATCTCTAACGGAACTAGCCCTTGAGTTTAGGGGTAAAATACAAGTTTATTTTTATCAATTCGATGTCATTTTTTTTTTTACTTTAATATAGTGGTGTAAAGTATGAGAAAAAATATAAGAAAAAAAAAGGTTGAACAAAAATAATGTGTTTGAAGCAAAAAAATAATAATAATAATAACATAATTATATTAAATTTATTAATTTTTACTAAAAAAAGTTAAATATTAGAGAAAATAAATAAAGCTACATACATTTTATTATTTTTAAAATAAAAATAAAAATAAAATAGAAATGTAAAATTTAGTCTAAATACAATGAACTATAAATAACATTTGCTGAACCATGTTATGAACATGTTGAATATGTATATACATATATATTCAAAATAAAATAAATATAAAAATAAAAATAAAAATAAAATCTTATTTTAAAGTTTACTGAAGAGATTTTGAAATATCGATTGTGTTTCTTTTGGTTGAATTTAAAAAAAGTTAATTTGTATTTAATATTAAAATAACATTAGACGGAATATTCTGTGAGAAGAAAAAATGCATTTTTTTTAAAAATATTAGTTTAAGTAAAATTTAAAAAAAAATTAATGTAAAGAAACATATACATAATTTTTTAAAATTATTTGAAAATATAAAATATAGATATTTAATATGTTGTTTTATAAGAAAATTAAATATTTTATGTGATATTAATAAAAAATTAATAATAGTGTAAATAGTGGGTTTGTTTATCAATTTCTTTTAGTAATATCATTCTTGATAAATATTTTAATAAAACAATATATATTTATATAACAAATACTAATATATAGTCCGGGATGTTTACGCTTGTTTGGTTGTACACTAAGAATAAAAAATAATTATATTTTAATATAAAACTATGATAGATAAAAAATAATATAATAATATTACGATAAATTTATTAAAGATACAATTAAAAAATAATGGAATAAATAGAAAAAATAATTATAAAATAATTATTATTTTATTAAAATAAAAAAAAATTATGAGTGGATAAAATATTTTTATTATAAATAGACTATGCATAATTTTAATAAATAAATAAACTGATATAATTTCCTCTGGACAAAGAGTATATTATATTAACTTTAAAAAAAAATTAATTAATAATTCAACAAAAATATATATTTTATTAATAATATAATTCTCCAAACCTCATACTTTTTTGTTGCAATTAAATAGTCTTATTTTATTATTTATATTTGTCCAAAAATAATATTCCCTCTGTCTCATAAATATAATCTTAATTGAGTTGGGTACGGGATTTATTTGCCCTTGTGAATGTATTAGTGTAAAAAATAGTAGTAATTGTATAATAAAAATAAAAAAGTAGGGGTAATTTTATGGTGATATAGTTATTTATGAAAATAAAACTATTGTTCTGGGACGAACAAAAATGGTAAATAAGACTATTGTATTGAAACGAAGGAAGTAGTTTTATTATCATAAATAATTATATTATCATAAAATTACTCTTATATATATTTTTATTATAATTACACATATGTCACTATTTTTTATATATTTATAAGAACAAGAAAATAATTTCTTTATACTTTTTAGTCACTATTAATATTTTTTAAATCCGTGTCAAACATAAACAAATTTTTTATATGAAAAAAAAACCCTGATTTTTTAATGCTTAAAAATCGATAAGATAGGTGCTAAAAATATTTTTTCAGCAGCACCTTTGTTGACTGTTTCAAATTGTAATTATAATATTACCTCTATCCACTGTGAATCTATCTATTTACTTTTTGCATGTTAATTTTTAAATATTAATTATTATATTTTAATATTAATTATTATATAAAAATATAGTATAAATTAAGAAAAAACTACAAAAATACTTTTATTGGTGTTTTATAATACTAATAAAATAAAATTTGTACAAAAAATTATATAAATATAAGGATATTTTTAAAATTAAAAAAATGATGACAAATGCAAATGGATAAATTGGTGGTGAACGAAAGTAATAATTATATTAATAATATAAATTAATGGTACAATTTAAATATTAATTTTCTAAGACATTCGGCATGAATGCTGAAATATTTTCATCAGAATAGGATCTTTAGCTTTAAAAATTATTAATTTTTTTATGGGTAAACTGTTTTTTTAGTCCGTAACTGGACCTCTTATCATTTTAGTCCCGTAAGTGGAGCCTGTCGCAAAATAGTCTCATAAGTGAAAAGTTTTCGCTGTTTTAGTCCTCCGGCGCCGGAGATGCCCGCGTGGCTCGCCGGAGGTGACGTGTCCGTCAGGTGTCGCTGACCTGTCGGACACGTGGATTTTTTTAAATTTTTTTTAAAACTTATTTTTAATTTAGTTTAAATTTTATTTGTATTTTTTTATTTGGTACAATTAAAAAAATCTAAAAAATAAAAAAAAATGAAAAAAAAAGCCACGTGTCTGCCAGGTGTCGCTGACCTGGCGGGACACTTCACCTCCGGCGAGCCATGCGGGCGTCTCCGGTGCCGGAGGACTAAAACAGCGAAAATTTTTTACTTATGGGACTAGTTTGCAATATGCTCCACTTACAGGACTAAAATGATAAAGGATCAGTTACGGACTAAAAAAAGAGTTTACTCTTTTTTTATTGTTAATTATTAAAAATTATGAATATATTTTTAAAATATTTTATTATTATTATTATTTACATAGTAATTTATTTTATTGAAAATTGTGATATTGAAAACAGTGTTAAAAACAAACACACCTTTGTTACGGGGATTGGTTTGTTTGTTTGTTAATTTATTGGGTAAATTGTTTTTTTAGTTCCGTAACTGACCCCTTTATCATTTTAGTACTGTAAATAGAGTCTGTCGCAAACTAGTCCCATAAGTGAAAAACTTTCGTTGTTTTAGTCCTCCGGCGTCGGAGATGTCCGTGTGACTCGCCGGAGGTGACGTGTCCGCCAGGTGTCACTGACTTGACAGACACGTTGATTTTTTTTATTTTTTTTCATTTTTTTAAAACTTATTTTTAATTTATTTTAAATTTTATTTGTATTTTTTTAATTTTTTTAATTTGGTCCAATTAAAAAAAATGAAAAAAAATAAATAAATCCACGTGTCCGCCGGGTATCGCTGACCTGACGGGACACCTGGCGGACACGTCACCTCCGGCGAGCCACGCGGGCGTCTCCGGCGCCGGAGGACTAAAACAACGAAAATTTTTTACTTATGGGACTAATTTGCGACATGCTCCACTTAGAGGACTAAATTGATAAAAATGTCCAATTACGGAATTAAAAAAACAGTTTACCCTAATTTATTTTAAGTTTCACATTACTAAGGCAATTATTAGTGATTTGGAGAAATGCCACAAATTAACCAACAGGTGAAGTGCCCTTGAAAGCCAAGTAATGATATATGAATTATTACATTATTTTAATTTTAATTTAAAATTAAGTACTATAATTATTGGTATGGTTGGTAACTTGTTACATTTCTTGCTATCTGAATTTTATATTACACACATGAAAAACATTTACCAACCATCTTTGAATTTTTGGTTCATTTTTGTAAAATTTATAAGAAGACATGTAAAACCATACTAAATTTATAAAATCAATTAGTCTTCCAATCATTGTGGGATTTAATTTAAAATTGAAGTTAGTCAAAGAAAAAGCCAGCTGGAAATAAAATTAATTTATTATTATTATAAACCTGGACTTATTTATTTCTTTTGATGACTTTAGAAAAAAATTAGTTTGCATTTTGTTTGAAAATAATATATGATGTAATGTTTTGTGAGAACAAAAAAAAATATATTTTTTTTGAAAAAAGTAAAATTCAAATAGTAAAATTTTGAAAAAATTGACTAAAGAAAAATTGACTAAAGAAACATGCCCTTAATTATTTCATATGACTGCATGGCGGTGGGGCCAGGTTTAACTATTTTAACTGGAACCTCCTTTTCTTTTCTTTTCTTCTTCTTCTTCTTTTTTTTTTTTTTTTTTTTTTTTTAATTCTATACAATTTTTTATTATTTGGATATTTTTCTAAAGATATATATCCCTCAATTTTAAATCAACATGTACATTTGGGATTGTGGGTATAAAAGTGTTTCTAAAAAATTAAAATATTTTTACTTATTATTGTGAAAATGTGAGAATAATTTTGTAAATGTGGAGAGTTAATTATCAAAAATGAAAATGTAGACTATTGTTTTGGGACAGACGAAAATGTAAAATGTAAAATGTTTTGGGATGACTTGGTGATGTAGGGGTTGAACGTGTGACCGTGCGTATAAGAGAACATTTTGCAATTTTTAAAATAAGGGGATTTACTCTAAGTTACACATGAGTTATGAACAAGTCTTTTTTTAAAAAGAAATTTAACTGCGTCACAACATATACTATTTTTATTATTTTTGTTTATCTCATTCAAGAGTATTTATTTTCAATGATAATAAAAGTAATCATATTTAAATATCAAAATACCTCTAAATTTCATCATTTTATTTTGTATTTTCAAAAAAAAAATGTTAAAACAATCTTACATATTTTTACTAATCATTAAATATTAGTACTATTATTTTTAAATTTAATATAAAAACCAAATAGATACATCGGACCAAACGAGAGAGTATAATACTTATTCATTTTACAAAATATCATGTCAACTCATTTAGAACCATTGGGGCAAAAAAAAAAATTAAATATTTTATTGAAAAATAGATAAAATAAAAATAAAATTAAAAATATTTTTGAAAATTTAATTAAAAATTAAAAAAAAATAAAAGCGAAAATAAATAATAAAACAGTGACATTAAATGAAAGTAAATTAAATATTAATTTATTAACTTTGCAAACATTAATGTAAATTTAACGGAGTATTATTTGAGTAGAAGATCCCAATCTAAATTGCAAAGAAACAGTGTGTTTACTTGTCAAGTTTTACACCTGATTTTACTACTTTTTTTTTTCTCCAAAAATATCAAATCAAACACTCATTTTTATTTATTTTATTACACTAAAATCTTATTTTACACTCAAAACGTCACATCAATACATATTTATATCAAATCAAACAACTATTTCAATTCAAAATTTTACTATTCAAAATTAAAATCCAAAACTAAAACCTTACAAGTAAACACACCCACCCATATTTTAAATAATTTTCATAATAGTAAAGAAAATAAATATTACTCCTATACTAATATTCGATGAAATAAAATATATATTTAATAAGTATTACATTTGTATTATTATATTTAATATTAAAAATATATTTATATTTGTATAATTTTTTTTATAAATATTATTGTATTAGTATTATAAAATATTAAAATATGATATATATAAAAATATATTTATAATTTTTTTAATTTATATTATATTTTAATATAATAATTAATATTCAAAAATGTTTTGACCTTACAACCGAACTGAAGTAATATAATATTTCAAAGAGCAATAGAAACTAACAAAAAGAAAATTGTACGTAATTTCTGAAGAAATTCATAAATCTAAAAAATAATAATTAAAAGTCAAAGTTGCCGTCATAATAATTGTTGATGAACAACTCAAAACTGTTAATTTAATACAGCGGCCAAACGCGCCCTTTCTCTCTCTTTTTTGTCTCTCTCCCTCCACTTGCAGCAGCTCTGGAGGTTGAAATGGCGTCTACCATGAAAAGTCCACGAATCGGTTACCGGAGGCGGAGCTCCGCCGACAGTCCGCCTGATAATTTGTTTCACTCGCAGGATTCATCCACGCCGTCGTCGTCGTCCGCCTCCAACTTCGCTTTGGGTTCCACTCCTTCTCGCAAGCTTGGCACCAGCTCCACCGCGAAGAATTCGGTCAGGAGCGCGGCTCGATCCGTCGCGGATGCGCTGGTGAGTTGTTTCACGCCGCCTGAGCGGGAGAATAACTTGAGCAACGTTTCCAATGGTTCTTCTGGTACGCGATCGATTTAGCAGGGAACATTAATTTTATATGGTTGATTTTTCGCTGATCGCTAATTTGAAGTCCTGATTTCGACTTACTTGTGGCTGAAAGAATATGAGGCTCGTTTTTCTGAGCAAAAAATTGAATGTACAGAGAAAAAAAAAACTATTAGCGATTCACAGGATTTCAGATTCAAATTGTTGTTAGCTTTTGAAATTGCGGTTTTCTTTTGGCGCAAAGGAACTATTTCTTGAAAATTGGGAAATAATTTTAGTTAGCATAATTTTTTAAGATAATCAGTAATTGATGTTTGATCATTGCTTGTTTGCAAATAAACAAATCAAACCTTATAATAGTTTTTAGCTCTTATAGAAAGCGTACATTGAATTGAAATATGAGTACTGGATGAAGAACATTAAGCTAATCTGTGAATCTCTGTTAGGACTCAGCTCACTGAATGTATATACATACATACATACACATATATATATATATATATGTTGATCATAAGCTCTTTATTCCATCAGAATCGTCGAGGTCTCGCAGCAGGAAGGATCGTAGTTCAAAATACCGCAGCATCTACGATACTTCGAACAATTCAACTCATACAAGGGAGCCAGGGAGTACTAAATTCACCATGGAAGAAATTCAGAAAGCAACGAAAAATTTCTCGCCAAGCCTTAAAATCGGACAAGGTGGATTTGGAACCGTCTACAAGGGTCAAGTGGAAGATGAAACTCTAGTTGCAGTTAAACGGGCCAAGAAGGTTACAATATAGCACATTTAAGAAAAAATTAAATCTCTACCATTGCTGTTGTTTGTTATATTATCTTCTTGCCTGCAGATCGTGCACGACAAACACTTAGGAGTTGAGTTCCAGAGTGAGATTCAGATTCTAGCAAAAGTGGAGCATCTAAATCTTGTAAAGTTCTACGGCTATTTGGAGCATGACGATGAGAGAATCATTGTGGTCGAGTATGTTCCAAATGGTACCTTGAGAGAGCATTTGGATTGTAAGCTCTTTTTATCCCACCTTGAAATTTTGCATCATGTAAGCATAAACATAATTTGATTAATAATTTTACTGATCTTGAACTTCATGATCCTCACAATAATATTATGAATTAATCGAATAAAATAATAACCTTGATTGGTATTCATAGTGTAGAACAGATGAGTCGTCTATTAGCTTCTGATTTCTCTCTCTTGATCTTAATCCCATGATACGTTAATGTTTCTTAAGTGATAGATAATTGGTTTTTATTCTAAGCCTTTTATAGGCAGAGGGAGCTTAAGCTTTTTCCTTAAGTCTCGACACTAATTCTTTACGACAAATGCAGGTTTGCACGGTAACATACTTGATTTTTCTTCGAGGCTGGACATTGCAATTGATGTAGCTCATGCTGTAACCTATCTTCACATGTACACAGGTTTCGATTTTTGTTCTGCTCACCAGACCAAATTACATTCATTGTGTAGCCTCTGTAACTGAGAAACTGCTTGTTACTGTATGCAGATCATCCAATCATCCACAGAGACATCAAATCTTCCAACATTCTCCTAACTGAAAACCTACGAGCGAAGGTGGCTGACTTTGGATTTGCACGGCTGGCAGCTGATGGTGAAACGGCAACTCATGTTTCTACACAAGTTAAGGGAACTGCTGGCTACTTAGATCCCGAATACCTGAAAACTTATCAGCTCACAGAGAAGAGCGACGTATACTCATTTGGTGTTTTACTTGTGGAGCTCATCACTGGAAGACGCCCCATCGAGCCTAAGCGAGAGTACAAGGAACGGATCACTGCCAGATGGGTAAATATATATATATATATCTTTTTGTCTCCATTTCTCATTTAATCTCCGTACTAAATATACGCATTCAACTTGCTTTCGCTGTTAAATAATTCCTGGAGAGATCAATATCGATATCATTGTTAGTCCAATGAGGTGTTTCTTCATCAAAATTACTGAAAATGAGAAGAAAGTTAGGATTACAAAAATTTCAGTAAGATGAGAAGAAAGTTAGGATTACAAAAATTTCAGTAAGATGAGAAGAAAGTTAGGATTACAAAAATTTCAGTAAGTGTTCTAGTAAAAGTGAATTAAGGTTTTATGCATGCTTTGCTATGGTCTTTGAATTGTGTCGGTTGGGTATAGATGGACTCAACCGAGATTCTCCATAGAGTTAGAAAAAAAAAAATATATCTATCTTGAGTGTGTTTGTATAATATTTATAGTATTAGGTCTTTTTGTTGTAAAGTATAACGAATCGTGAATTATTATGGAAAATGATGTTTTGAGTGTTTTATGGACTTTTATTATTATGTGTATATATTGTATATTATACTATCTCCGTCCACTAGCAAAGTTTATATTACTTTTTGGTGTGTAAATTAAAAAATAATAATATTTAATAGTATTAGTAGTACTTTTGAATGCAAAGATGTTTTTCCCCTTGTGTTTTGATTTGATGTATCATAATTGATGTAAATAACTGAAATTTTTTATGTATCTATAATGTATAGTGTGGTAATACTTATTAAAAAGAGAAATGTAATTTTATGTTTGAAGAGACAAAAATGGAAAACGAGTAAACCTTTTTAATAGATGGAGAGAGTTATTGTATTTTTTGGGTAATAAGTTGGGAGTTTGGGTTTTGAATTTGAGTCTTGAATAGTAAAAATTTAAATTAGAATAATTTTTTAATATGATATGTTGATGTTTTTTTTAAAAAAAAAAAAAAAAAAAAAAAAAGAAAGAATGGAAATGAGGAATAGTATAAATTCTTCATAATCTCCTAAACAAAAAAAACTCCTTGTGAATGGTTATTATGGTGAAATTTCAGGCAATGAAGAAGTTCATAAATGGGGAGGCCATTTTAACATTGGATCCGAGATTGGTTCGGTCTCCGGCGAATAACTTAGCCATGGAGAAGATATTTGAGCTGTCGTTGCAGTGCTTGGCTACCAGCCGCCACAGCAGACCGACCATGAAGAAATGTGGGGAGATTCTTTGGGGCATCAGGAAGGATTACAAGGAACTCTTGGCTTCCGGAGTCGTTGTTTGATCTTCTTCGTCGTCAATTTTAAGGTAACAACAACGTCTACTCGATTTTCTTTTGTTATTATGTTGCATGCATATAAATTCAGAGAGGATGGTCGATATTGATCGTAGAATATTAATGATGAAGTAGCTAGTTTGCGAGAAAGATGATGATGATATATTATGTGCTGTTTGGTTTGATTTGATTTGATTAGTGCAAATTTGTTGGTGAAATTTTTGGTTTTTTATTCTTTTTTAATGTGCTTTTTTGGGTTTTGAATTTTATGTATAGAAAACTCATTTTTGATAGGGACTAATTGTATTATGTATTGTACATTGAAATGATAAGTGTTTTTTTTTTTTCGTTTTTTGATTTGATTTTTAAATAAATACTAGTATGTTTTATATATATAATATTAGAGGCTAATATATATAATATATTATTTTGGATCGATCAGTTGTGTTGCATTTGTCAAATTTATGTTGAATATTAGCATAATTGTAAAATTTGTCGGCGAAAGAATCTAACTAAAATAATAGAGAAGCAATTGTGCGACTTAGGGTGTGTTTGTTTGAGGGATCTTGCCAAAAATCTACTGTTTATCTAAAATTTTTCTCCAAAAAATATCACATCAAACATATATAGTTTATTTTTTATATTATTATAAAAAATCAATTTTACATTCAAAATATCATATCAACACCTATTTATATCACATCATTATGCAATTATTTTAATTTAAAATTTTAAGTGACTTCAACTCTACCCAACCTAGATGAAGGGGAAATAATTGAAAATAGTGATGATTCCACAAGATTTGATGGGGTTGATTCATTGGAGCTGGCGGATCTCCCAATCGAGGGCCGTAAATTCTCATGGTTTAGAGTGTACTTTTTAATTATATTTTGAATAAGTGGTTCTTTTTTCTTAAAGTTTAGATAGGATTCGTTGGCTATTATTGGATAAGTTTTGTTCCTTTTGTGTTTAACGTTTAGTTTATAAGGTCCTATAAATACCTCTACTCATATTATTTTCAATCATCATTTTTTAATTTAAAAATAGAAATAAAGTACAATTGCTTTGGGCACTTTCTTCCGTCCAAGGATGTCAAATGGGCCAGGTTAGCCTCGGATCCGCTCCGAACTCGGTTTTAATGGGACATATTTGGGTCTAAAAAATTTGGTTCGGGACGGGTTGTGGATTTTGAGTTTTAGACCCGGCCGGGTTCGAGGCGGGTTATGATTTTTATTATAAACTCGTTTTACCTCGGACCCAAATCCGAACTTGGATATTTTAATAATTATTATAATTTATTTATATTTTTATACAATATAAATTATATTATTTATTTATTTAAAATAAATACATATAAAATAGAATCTTAATTCTAAATTTAATTTATATTCTCATTTGTTTCTTCTATAATTCTCTTTATAATTGGGACTACTGCTGACCGCTATCGCTACGGACTACCATCAATATATGATTATTCTTATTTTTAGAACTATAATTTTTTGGTACTTTGACGCATACGTTTTTTTAGTATTAAATTATTTTTAAAAAAATTTATTTTATTATTTTCTTTAAAAAAAAACGGATTTGTCTGGTTGGCCCCGAACCCGGAGAATTCGGGGCGAGGCGGGTCCTGGGACTGGGTTGTAGCGGGGCGAGGCGGGCCTTAGATCCTAATATTTTCTAGCGGGGCGGGTCTCGGGGCCTGCAAAATCCATCCCGAACCCGCCCCGTTGACATGTCTACTCCCATCCCACCTCCATCACATTCTTTCTCTCACCTTCTTATATTAAATCCTTCTATATATATACGTCTTAAGTCGATCCCGGGAGGCCAAATCGAACAAATGGTATAAGAGCATCAAGTTGAGGAGAACATGACTGAGTTATCTCCACGCTCATTTTTCGTCTTCACTAGAGAAATCTCTGGAGGTTTCGCTATGTTTTATCGTTTACTGACGACTTAGATTTTCCCCTTTGAAGTGCTAGATCAACGACAAAATTAGCAATTTCAGTGTTTGGTGGCTTTTGAAACTTCTCGGGTCGGCTGCAACGTAGGTTAGGATGAATTGAATTGAAAGTTGCAGAGTAGTTGTGATCCCGATTCATATTTTTTACGTTTTTTAGTTAAGGGAGGACGACGGGAGCATGGGAATTGACCGTATAGTGAGCAAGGAAGCTCCCGATGGCTCCGTGGCAGTCAACGGGGCTACTGTGGGTGATAAAAAAAGCAAAAATATCTGGCATATACGGAGCCTTTTGTGGAGTATGTGTGTAAGTATGGGTCGGTGGTGGATGCTAGGAAGGTACTGACGGCGATGTTGGCGGGCAACTGCAGAAGATGTTAGCATTCGCACTGTGTGGAATACGGTGTTTTTTGAGATTGTGATGTAGCTTGGTGTTGTCTGGTTCCGTAGGGTGCATGCCCAAATATTTTAGGTTCAATAATATGTCGATTGTTCCGTAGGATGCAGGGGGTGAAAGACAACGTCGGGATGTTGTTTGTCTATCCCCGGTTAACTTGACATACCCAAGGGGTCTGGAACGTCATTCAACGACAGAATGGAGGGTTGTAGATGTGAGAAGGCTCAGGCAGTAGAAACGGAACTCTTCATATGATAGTTGATGTCACTCCAGGATAAATTATCCTGACATGAGACCAAGTGTAATATCCTGGAGTTGGCCGGTGCTAGGCTAACACCCACGGATGAGTCAGTGTCAGGCCATCCGAGTTTGAATATAGGTTAAATAGATTGAATAAACTACTCATGTCAACAATGTGCACATTCTTTTTCGGAAGCCTTACTGAAAGAACTATAGAATTAAGTGTGTTTGCTGAATAATATGAGATGGGTGACCCCCTGGGAAGTCTCTTAGAGTGCCCGTGAGTGAGGACGGAAGCACGCTGAAGGGACTCGTGTTGACTTGTGGGGCAAGTCTATAATCCCGACATGCGTGCCTTGCGGGCCGGTGTGTCACACCAAGTCACAGTTTGACTAAGTAGTTTAGAGTATATTTAGTTATATTTTGAGTAAGTGGCTCCTTGTTCCTGAAGTTTAGGTAGGATTCATTAGCTATTATTAAATAATTTTTTGTTCCTTTTTTGTTTAACGTTGAGTTTATGAGATCCTATTAATACTTTTGCTCCTATTATTTTCAATCATCAATTTTGTATTCGGAAATTGAAATAAACTACAGATGATTGCTACACTTTCTCTTGTCCCACCTCCATCAACTTTCTCTCACCTCCTTATATTAAATCTTTCTATATATATATATATATATATATATAACTCTAGTCGATCCTGGGAGGCCAAATCCGACAAACTTTATGTATAGTTAATTCATTTTTGATATAGAATAATTGTATTATGTGTTGTGCATTTAAATAATAATTGTTCTTTTTTAATTTGATTTTATAATAAATACTAATATGTTTCGTATATAATATTTAGATGAAAGAATCAAGAATAGTGATAATTCAAGATCTAGACAAGATTTTAGGGAATTGGTCCATTCATTGGAGTTGGCAGATCACTCAATTGTGGGCCACAAATTACATGGTTAAGGAATAAAGGTTGGTCCCTATCTCGTATAGATAGATTCTTATTGAGTGTAGGTTGGATGCAGGATGAAAGAGGTTGGATCTAAAGAAGTAAAGATGATTGTCTGTCTAATCATGTGCCCGCATCTCTAGAGGTGGGTTATATCGATTGGGGGCCTAAACCTTTTTGTTCTTTTAATCATTGGTTGTTAGATATTAATTTCTGTAAAAAAAAAAAAAAATGAAAGAAAAGTTGGGACGGTGCTTTTGGAATGGGTGAGAATAAAAGAGATCATGCAAAAAGATTTTCGGATCTCAAAGATGCTATCAAATTGTGGGAAGGTTATCACGGAGGATGGTATAATAAGAAGATAAAAAAAAAGTTGTAAAATGGGTTGATGGAGTTGTATAAACTGTTAGAACAGAGGTGTGTATCCTCTTTCGGGGAGTGGTCAAATGGTCATTGGAAATAGCCAATCCAACTTCGAAGAGGAGTGTTTAATTGGGAAGTACGTGGTTTGACGGCAGACCTGATTCGGGAAAGTGTTGCTCTTCCCAGGGTCCAATTGTTGTTGTGGTGGGTGCTCAATAAAGGAATCCTTGTCAAAATGGATTTGGCCAGAAGAGGAATAATGATAAATAGGGAGCTAAAATGTCCAATGTGTGTATTAGAAGATGAAGAGATTGATCATATTTTGGTGCAATGCAACTTCGCTACTCAACTATGGTGGTCGGTGATTAGGTGGTTCAATATTTTGTGGTCCTTTCCAAGGGATGTGCGGAGGCTCTTTATGAGTTGGAAACATCTCCAAAAAAGTAAATCTAAGGAAGTAGTTTGGGATTTAGCAATAATCTGTTGCATTTAGACAACGAGGAATAAAGTAGTTTTCCAAGGAAAATCTCCATCGAAATCAAACATTGTTGAAAGGATAATATGGATAGTATTAAAATGATTCAATGCTAAATATCCGGGGACATATTGTAGTGCAGTTTTTTTTCGAGAAAATCTGGAACGATTACAAGTGTTCCAAGGATGAAGAAGGCATGGGTTAGAACTACTGACTTACCTTGGCTTCCCTCGGCAATTGGGAGTGGATAATAAATATTGATGCCTTAGCGATGGGGTGCTCAAGCACTCCAGGGATTGGTGTGGTGGTTCATGAAGATTCATAAATGATCATCTTGATTATGTGTATGGGTGTGTTTGTTTAGGGAATTGGAGTTTGGGTTGGAATATGAATAGTAAAAAATTTGAATAAGAATAGTTGTATGATGTAATATAAATAAATTTTTATGTGATATTTTGAATGTAAAGTTGATTTTTAGAATAATATAAAAAATAAAAAATAAATATTTGATTTAAAGTTTTTTAGGGAGGAAATTAGTGTGAATAGTATAAATCCATTATAATTCTTCAAACAAACACACCCTAAGTATATTAGCATCTCTAAGTCCATAGACGTGGAGCTAGAGGAAGTTCGATTCTTTGTTCCAAATTTAGTAGTGGAAAGTGATTCGTCTATGATTGTCTCAGGACTTCAAAGGAAAGCGCAATATCCATAGATAATGGATGCAAAAATTCAAGTTATTGTTAGCTTCTTTGACCATTATAAGGCTGTGGAAGTGACTCATATATTTAAGGAAAAGAATTGGTTAATGGATGGGTTGACTAAAAATG